CTAGTAGTAAGGCCAGGAGCCCCTAGTAGCGTTCTTGCTCCTAGTAGCTTCTCGTTGCCCATCGACGTGACCGACTGAGACTTTGCATCAACTTTCCAGCCCGAAGCCTCAAGGATTCGTTGGGAAGCCCAGAACTGCTTGCAGTTCTTGGCGCGATTCGCGCCGGACAAAGACATGTACTTGCTGTCATGCTTTGCCGGTAGTGATGATGATCTGACGATATTGATATATCATCATACTAAATCATCATATATATATATATATATATATAATCCCCTGCTGAATAAACCCTATGGAATCTGGGAGGTCGAGCTTTTATTAGACACTTTTCCTCCGGAATGAGATATCAACCTACCTGAAAAAAGCTATAGCCTAAGAACCTGTGCATTTACAAGTTGCTTTTTCATGATGCCCAATAGGTGGAGCTATTCCATTTTATAGAGAAGGCATGAACATGCACCATATTTTAAAGAGGTTAGGTTGTTTTTTTCATTTTACCACTATAGACTATAGAACCTGATTCCCGACCTTCGTCGGTCAATTCCACGACTTGAAGAAGTTGGGCAACCTGTCAACCGAAAATCACACACCCGGGATGATCCTCAATGGAACTCTTTAAGCATCCATCCTTGTCGGATGCGCCCAACAGCGCAGCCCGAACGAATGTCCGTTGGACCTCCCAACGACCGCCCCGTTGAGGTCCAAGACCTTGAAGGAGCGCGCGAGCTCGCCACGCGGTCGGTGGAGTTCCAAGTGGGATCGGGACAGACTGACACGGCAAGACATGGGCGAAGGGAGAGACCTCCTGGTTACGGCATGTTGCCGTTGCGCAGATGGACCTTGTTGTGTGCATGATATTGGACGTGCTGCATGCAGTTGCAGAAACTTTGAGGCTTGGTTCTGAAACGAGTTCCAAAAAGAGATGCAAGTAGTAACAAGTGCATCGCTACTAGTAACAGGTGCCTTACTAGTAGTAACAAGAAGCTTTAATTTTAAATCAATTCTAATAGTTTTTTGTTTCTACTAGTAAGGCACTTGTTACTACTAGCGTGGCACCTGTTACTAGTAGTAACAAGTATGATGCAATTGAAGGAGCTGGACCTGGTTCCTTCTGCTGCATTGATTCTGAAAGAGTCCGAGCCAGACGGAGAGAGCGGATGAACTTTGAATGTCGTGTCGCACGTAGCCTATAGAAGAACTGCGTAGTTTGCAGAGACAGAAGAAACCAACAAGTGACAACATCTAACAAGACTGATAGCTGACTCTTTTGCTGGAGCCACAAAGGTGGCTTTGCGCTTTAGAAGTTGAATGGTGACCAAAAGGCCTTTCTGCATCGTCCATGACCAACTAGTCTACACAAATCTGACATCCAAGCCTAAGGCGCTTTATGACGCCTAGAAATGGTCTTTGCTTTCATGAATCTAACGGCCTGCCAAGGCAAAACCTGTTCTTGCTTGCGTTTGCTTGTTCTGATTCAGATGTGTTTGAGCAGAACTGCTTTCCTGAAAATTCACTCTAGACCTTGACCTAAGGTTGGGATGTCAGATGAGTCATGATGAGTCAGATAGGCTTAGGATAGCATGAGGGCTTCGGTGACGGCTTCAATTCCGGACGCTTTGTACAAGGTTCAAGCACGTAAAAAGGCACATGGATCCTGGACGAAAGACCATTCTTGAAGAAAAGGATCCTTGGATTCTGAACATGGAAGATGTAGTGGACAGGCACAACGGCAGGTACAACGGTTGGATTCACCAACGTCCTTTATGAACAGTTGTTTGTGCAGAAGGATGCTGATATTACTGCCAAAGCGGCTATGTTTGCCTTACTAGATTCAACTCGAGACTTCAAACTTGTTTGCTTGTAGATTGACCAGCTACTAGGAACAAAGGGCATCGCTACTAGGAGCAAGAAGCTACTAGTAGCTCCTGGCATTTCTACTAGTAACAAGGCTCGCTACGAACGTAACAAGGGCATCGGAGCATTTATTCAAACCGTTTGTTTCACCAGCTTCCTGCGGAACACCCAAAGCCAGCGCACGACACCCAACAGCCAAGTGGATCGGTGACTCAGCCATGCCGTGAGCGGCTCGGTGGTGGCTCAGCCGGTCCACACGTTGAGGTCGTCGCTGCCGGCAATCCATGTTGTGTTGACGTTGACAATCCTGACGTCTTAAAAAACACCCAGTATAAATTACATGCGGTCACCAAGCCTGACTTCGGCATTCTCATTTCGGTGTTGGTGGATGAAGTGTTCCAGGCTGTTCCTATAAAGGCTTTGATTCGTGAAATGGCATGTTGTGTCGATGGTGTGTCGATCGACGGGCGAATGGATGTCGATGCACGTGTCGATGTCCGAACGAGGCTCGTGTGGCTCGTCGGAGATGCTTTTGGGCTCGTGCGGCTCGTGAATGATCAGGCCTTTTCAGGGCGGCAGTGATACACATTCTGCGTTTGAGTCGCCAAAAAGTGTAGGAAACATGGCACGTGACTTGTTAACTTGTTGTCCCCATGCAGGGAAGATGAAAAGGAGGTGATCAAGGCCTGATCTTTGGGTTGAGAGTCGTCACAGGTGCCACATTGCATCATCTCATGGCATTTGGGTGGGCGAATCCATCAGTGAAGAGGCTGTGCAGCTGCTTTCAAATGTCTAGCTCCCCCAGGAAGAAGAACGTTTGGAAGAGCGTCTCTTGAAGGGTTCACCAGCCGAAGCAAGGGAAGCAGACAATGTGGAGGAAGAAGGAGAAGGAGAAGGTGGTGAAGAAGCAGGTGAGGAAGGGGCAGAAGGTGAAGGAGAAGGAAGACAAGAAGTCGAAGAAGCCCCTCAAGAAGAGCTCGATGCAAAGCCACCGCTCCAAGGCGCTCGGCAAAGCCAAGAGGCGCAAAGTTCAGCGCTTGAGGCGAGGCATGTGGTCTATGCCTAGCTGACAGCCCATATGTCAGGAGACATCATGTGTCGCCTAGAAAGCACGGAGACCTCCAGACCATGCGACGCTTGGTATGTGGCACGTTGTAGTAAGCAAGCTGTGCTAAGTTTCGCTTTTGCACTCAAAAAATAATGGGTTAAGGGCCTTGTCATGAAGAGACTTAGACAGATCACACTGCGAGTTATGAGACACTATGAGTTCCCACAAGAACCAGAACATCCGAACAGGTCGCCAGTCAGGTAACAAGACTTGGAAACCATTCCGTGAGACCATGCAGTGAGGCAGCTGAGAAGGAAACAGAGATGAAGGCGGAGGATTTGCACATCGGAAAGGGTGCAGAGGTCCGCCACGGCACAGACGGTTACTAGTATTAGTAGCAATGCCAGGAGCTACGTTCGTAGCTTCTTGCTACTATAGTCTGTAATGACCTCCAACCTACTAGTGATGGTCTCCAACCTAGTAGCTTCTTGCTACTATAGTAGTCATGCCCTTGTTACTAGTAGCGATGCCCTTGCTACTCATAGCGATGCCCTTGTTACAATGTAAATTGTTCCTTTGTTTTGTCCAACACGCTCCCATGTCATTTTCGCAGAGGGTCCTTGGCGCTTTGTGAGGACATGGTGAAAGCTGTGCGGGTCTTGCAGAGGTTCTATCGCTTCAAGAAATATCGCTCCTTGGTCATTTTTCCACAACTTTTAACAATAAGAACCCTCGAAGAATCCATATTGTTAAAGTACATATTGTTAAAAGATATATTAATCCACAACTTTACGACTTTAGGCCTGCACAAGAACCCTCGAATCCTTCGAAGCTTCTCGCGGAAGAATTCCGCGGAACCGTGCGAACTGTCGGACGACTCGTTCGAAGCAGCTCGGTTCGAAGCAGCTTGGTTCGATGAGGTTGGTTCGACCTGGGGAGAAAGACTCACCCAGTTCAGCTTCCAGAACATCCAGGTTGGAGAAAAGCACAGCAACTCAAGTGCTGTGTGAGGTAATTCAAGGGCTGCGACTGTTTTGGGATGTGTTATTTCTGAAAGATTGCTATTGGAGTACTGATTTCTTGCAGCTCAACATGCTTTTGTGCTTTGGAAGGCGACCAACAAATCCCAGTGGGCATTCAGCATCTTGGATGTCAACACTGGATCCTTTCTCCCACGAAGTCAGCGGCGTCGGATTGGCGTCGGATTCACCAGGTCTGGTCGGGATCCGGTCACTGCCTGGCACGATGCGCTCCGTGCTCCTTGGATTCTGATTCGGAAGCCTTTCATTCTAAACCAATCGAACACCAGTTCGAACACGAAGTCGAACACCTCGCAGTGTGCCTGAGAGATGGTGGAGAGGTGGTGGAGTTGGTTTTCGGAGTCCGAGTCAGGCCGTAGTTGCCGGTCCTTGACCCTTGGAGGATATAGACTTTGTGGAGCTGATCTCTACGGACAAGTCTAGTAGCGATGCCCTTGCTCCTACTAGCTTCTTGCTCCTAGTAGTAAGGCCAGGAGCCCCGTTCGTAGCGTCCGATCGCTCCTAGTAAGTCATACTGAAACCGTTGAGCGTCTGACAGCCTGACAGCTAGACATGAGCTTCCTCTAAGGCCAGTCGTATCTCCGAAGGCGATGGCAGCGGTGAGCCAAACCGGATCGCGATAGCTTTGTCCTACCTGAGCAGCTCAGCAGCAGTTGGACAAGCTGAAAATGCCATTTCCATAGGTCGCATGTTTTTGCATGAATCACATGTCTCTTTTTCAAGGCTTGTGTCATACATATCTTCATATCCATTGCGTTGAGTTTGCTGCGTAGATCCACTGGCATCAGACTCAGATCTCGTTACCATCGATATGATTTCATGCCTTCCTCGTCCTTTCTCCGTCTTTCGCAGGTGAGGTTGGTCGATTTGCTGCTGCCTGTCGCGCTGCTGCCGTCTTGGCCGTGCATGAGGCCGGAGTGGTGAGAAAGTGAGTCAACACCTGCATTCGTGCCAAAGGTTCGAACGCACCAAGGAGTTTAGCACCTCACTTCTTTGTGTTGTGATGAAGATCGTCTTTCATCATCAAATGGGTTGTTGGGGGTGGTGCAACTTTTTGATCCACTTCCGGTGTTGTTGCAGGTGTTGTTGCATCCCTACGGCATGGACACTCAGAAGCACAGCAAGCACCATGGCCCAGATTCGCCTCGAGAGGCTTGGTTGGATAGACAGAGGCCGCCTGGCTGAGGCGGCCTTTGCCCAGCAAGTGGCACAGTACTAGCGATGGCCTCCAACCTACTAGCGTCCTTGCTACTAGTAGCGATGCCAGGAGCCCCTAGTAGCCTCTTGTTCCTAGTAGTAAGGCCAGGAGCCCCTAGTAGCGTCCTTGCTCCTAATAGCGATGGCCTCCAACCTACTACCTTGAATGCTTGATGTTTGAAGCTGCAACAAGCTAGGTCAAGGAATACCATGTTTCGAAGAAGGGTTGACGATCAGAGTGAACCAATTAAACCACGCCTGAAGTTTTGCCAGGTGAGAGAAGAGTCTAGTACTTATCGTTTATGAGGATTGCTCTTTTTGAGTGCAAGATACCAGACCTGATTTCTTCTAGCGAACAGGACGGAGACCGCTTTAAGCCACCACAGCTCGTCACCAAAGATGACCCACTGTGGCCTTTGGCAGCATGCTTGCAAGAAGAGGAAAAACACAATGACTAGAAAGACTACATGAGATTACTCTCTCTCTCTCTAACATGATTAATTACTCATGACGCATGTTCTGAAAAACATCAATTCCGCTCGACCGAGAACAAAACGTGGGAACAAGTTGTTCTTGAAGTTCCTTTTGTGTTCCTTAGTGCAGTCTGAAGCTAGCTCAAACTATGCTTCGTTGCGGTTCATTTGACCTTGATGCGGCTGTCCACATGTTCACGATGCACAAGGTACGCCCGCGCTTCGACGGCGATCGCGTCTACGTGCACGACTCGATTGTGCTCACGGTGATTGGCGGCAACAGCCACGTCACCGGGGGCACGCTTGCGGTTCATCAGATTTTCTTGGACGGACATGACACGGCCGCCTTATTTTTGTTTAAGACTCGAATACTAGAGGCTTTAGATGCTCTTTTGATACTCGGATGGGATGCTGTCATTGTGCTGTTCGCAGACAGTTGACCAGATTGCTGCCGTTGCCACAGCCAGGAGTCTTCCCAAGAATTTGCTTGGCGGCTTTATCAGCACGATGTGAAAGGATTCCAGGCATATCTGGGTTCAACTCCCCTCACATGGTTCGCCTTGTGCAGGCGAACACCAAACAAGCGATACTAATTCGCGCGGACGAAATTCATTCACCAACATGGAAGTGGTATGGACCCTCAAGGAAGACGATGGTCTGTAAAACGAACAGGGTGGTTTCCACTTCCATGTGAGTGAGTCGGAGTGTTAGAGCTTTAAGATTTCTTGGCACGGCACTGGAGGCGCTTGCAGATGCCATCTCCAGCAACTCGCAGGTCGTTCCATGGCCGTTTCGAAAGGTCGTTCAAACCTATTTGTTTTGCCAAACGGAACATCCAAATCTGGTCCAAGGTGTCAATCTCAGATGATGTGCGATGAGACGACTCAGATGGGTAGGAGGTGCTGAAGACACAGGCCTCCAACATAATAGCAATGGCCTCCAACCTAATAGCGATGGCCTCCAGCCTACCTTTGAGCCTTTTTTGGCGCCCCATGACTCTTTCCCACACCATTCTTCCGCCTTCAACGCCGCACATGCCGACATCTCCTTTCGAAGCGATCCGGACGCGAAGTCGTCGCAGTCTCACCACTGGGCCTTGCCGGTGGCGGTGCTGGTGGACTATTTGGGCTTCAGAGTGCTTTGCCGACCACAGGTTCGTGCACGTTCTGGGTTCTCTTTCATGTGTTCCTTTGCACTCGGATGTGCGAGGTTCAAGCGTGAGAATCAGCTACAAACCGTGAGATCTTATAGTATCTTAGCAAGTCACGATTGTCCTATAGACCTGCGCCTTCCTTGCATCCGGCCATTTCACGATTGCCAGATTCTGGCAATCGGAGATCCGCCAGCAGAGATGGTCCTCGGGCCCTTTGTCCTGCTCTCAGTCCTCCTCGACATGGAGGTGCTAGTAGCGGCGTTGCTCCCAGTAGCTTCTTGCTCCTAGTAGTAAGGCCACGAGCCCCTAGTAGCGTCCTTGCTCCTAGTAGCGATGCCCTTTGCTCCTAGTAGCGTCCTTGCTCTCAAGGCCTTCTCCGTCTTTTCTCCAAGTTGTGGAGTTGGGTTTTGTAAGGAGCTTGCATGTAGGAAACATTCATCCATGTCTTCCATGCAACAGTAACAGTTCTGCCTTCTGGCTGAACAAGGGAACATTTTGCACCGTTGGAATATGTTGGAATATCTCTCTCTAAGTATATGATACATTTAAAAGAATGCCTTCGACAGGATGAAACATTAGGCCAGGATGAAGCCTTGAGACTGAATCCTACGAACGATCCTACGTTAAGATGTCATATAGATATCCTGAATCTGCACGACATTCAAACAGACCCCCCACATAGTGTAGTGGCTGTAGATCTCCGTAACATGAGGCATTCTATGGATCAACAGTCTACATTATTGCAGTGTTTGGAAATACATGATTTCATCCTTGTTCGTTGAATTAGAATTCCCATTTCAACAAAAGTATTCAATGTCAGACTCAGGCAGAGGCAGAGGTGGCTTATGGTGCTCCTGGAGATTTGCCAGAACTGTGGCGAGAGGATCCGGAGAAACTTTGCTTCGTTATATTACTTGTTCGGTGGGTCAGAAGATAGTGCAAGAGCGGCTCGGGATCATACAAGATGAGTAGACGCATGTCCGGAGTTGTCCTACTATATGGTGCCATAGAATGCCATGCTTTTGCATGCTTCCTTTGCCCAGAAACACTGGCGATCCGATCGCAGAAGTCGCAGGCCACGAGTTCCATTGATGCAGCGCAGCAGGAGCAGGTGCCTTCGAATCCGACAGCCTTTTTCCACTGTGAAAGCAGTCCACTCATCCATGGAGGCCCTAATCAGGTCCATGTCCCTGACGCATCCCACTCACCGTGACAAAACACGCACCGTTTACGTCACTCCCTCAGAGGCAACGAATCCAGTGGCATATCCTGGAGACTCTGCGGAAAACCGCTGGCGTCAGCATCTGGGCGTCAATGTCAACACGGTCGGGACCATTTTGCAATGACTTGTTTTGGGAAGGTCCATGTCCGAAAGGGTAAGTAGTGGGCCCTTTTCACCAGTGGTGGGCCGGGGTGGAGCAGAACCACCGCCTTTTCAATCATCAACCCCCACGATTGACTGTTTTGAAGCGGATCCGCCTAGCCGCGCTTGCGAGGCAACTGCAGCCGGGAGCTCAGTGTCGATGTCCCATGAGACTTGTTTTGCGGTGTTTTCTTACGCAAACTTTTGCTCCAAACAAGAAGCTACTAGTGGCAAGGTGCATCGCTACTAGGAACAAGTGCATCGCTACTAGTAGCAAGAAGCTACTAGTAACAAGAATGTGTTTCGTTTTGGACAATGGTGGTAGATAGCAATGATCCCAAATGGGCACTCATGGAATAACTCATGGTTCCCAGAGAGTTCGCGTGCTTCTCCGAGCAGCTGAGAAAACGGAATGCCCCAATATGAACAAACATCGACGAATTAAACCTAAATCAACACCTTGGCCCTGAATGCAGTGCATGTGAATCTCCGTTTGTAAGGCCAGGAGCTACTAGTAGCTTCTTGTTCCAATGCTACTAGTAGCGATGCCAGGAGCGTCCTTGCTCCTATAGTAGTAAGGCCAGGAGCCCCTAGTAGCGTCCTTGCTCTTAGTAGTAAGGCCAGGAGCCCCTATTAGCTTATTGCCACTAATAGTAAATCAACTCCTTGGCCCTGAATGCCTGAAGTGAGGTTCTTTGTGCATGACGTGCATGTGAATCTCAGCATCAATCGAATAAACACTCCTGTGTTATATTGCTTGGCTCATTGATGCGCAAGGTTGCAAACTGGTTTGTTTGGTTATGTTATGTCTGGTTCAGTTTCACTCAGAGTCGTTTTGCAGTCACGGAGATGCTCGCAGGACGCGGAGCAGGGCTCAATTCGCCAGCTTGGTTCTCCATGAGTGGGTCAGGAGACCTCAGAGGTCTCAGGTCGAGTCGGTCGAGCGATGGGCAGAAAGGAACTTGATCTCCAATGAACTAGGGGTTCCTGGCCGTACTACTAGGAGCAGCGGACGCTACGATCGGGGCTGGCCTTACGGTGTGTGTGTGTGTGTGTGTGTCTCCCATAGGTGTCTCCCTGCCAGGCGTTCCGACCTTGCTGGGAGGTTCAGGAACTCAAATTGGTTGGGGATCTACACGTTTTTTTCATACACACTCACATCAGCGGCTGGTCATTTTTGGGGCGTTCCCCTATGTTCCCCTCCAATCGCATCAGCTTGCGGAAGACCAACGACTTGAAGGAATACTGAGGAGCTGATCCTTGTTTAACAAGGCTTTGCAAGGAGCAGACTGTTGGACTGTCGCTTGTAGCACCAACCAAAAGCGACCTTTAAGCTTCGCCACTTCATGCCACTTCCCGAGATTTGGACACAACACACACAAAAGTCATAGACATTCGGAGAAGTATTTCATCATGACGATTCTTCCTGTGATTCTTTTGATCTTCCTCCAAGCATCATGCCATGGCTCCTTTCTTTGTTTGCTGTGGTGTGTTTGGCATGGGAAGAGGCATTTCTCTTGGCAAGGACTCACCCCCAGTCTTTCAAAACCCTACCTGGCCCTGACCGACAGCGCCGGTGGCCGTTTGACCGGTGGCCCCAAGGACCGACGGCACCCGGAACTCCGACAGGAGCTGGCGGAAATGGCCAGTGATTTGGGCCTTCAGGCGGCGGCGTCGGTGGGAGGAAGGAAGAGAAGGAAGGTAGTAGCGTCCGATCGCTCCGTTCGTAGCGATGCCAGGAGCCCCTAGTAGTGTCCTTGCTTCTAGGAAGAGAAGGAACGTTCTGGAAAGATGACACCAAAATGGATGGCATTGCTTGACACATGTCGGGGTACTATCCATGGAGGAAGAGAAGGGACTGGTGCGAACCTCCACATCCACTGGATGAGGAGCCCTGGTGTAACAACCACCCAAAGGTCCATTGCTTAAAACACATTGACACGGCTGAAGGCAGGGTAGATCCCAGTCCGACGGATCGTCGTGAACGAACGTGAAAACCGCAGCCAACGAGGTCTGTGAAGGGAAGGGTCACTATTTGAAGGTCATGAGCGAGTGAGAATTGGATGATTTCATCCATGGTGAAAAAAGAAGAGATCAGCTTTCCTCATGGAACAATGAGACTTAGAGGATTTGAATGAGACTGACTGACGCCTTCTGGAACTCGATTTCCAATAACAGTCAGTAAAAGAGTTTTAAAGAGATGTAAAGAGTATATATCACTTTTTTTTAAAGGAATGCCTTTACTATCCTTTCCTGACCTCTCTCGCTTCCACATCCACGCGTGAGACGTGGAAGGAGCGTGTTACTCCGCCACAGGTGACCAACCATCATCATCCACTGGGCCCTGGTAATGGGATATACCTAAGCTCTCCCCATCATGGTCTGTGCGTCTCAGGGCTATCCTGTGTGCCTCATGAGCGACCTACCGAAGCCCCTCGCAAGCACCTCCCTCTTGCGCTTGTGCAATGCCCAGGAATACGACGGAAACCTGACGGAAAACGAGCACTCAAGAACTCTTTAAAGCTGCATTCCACTATGGGCTATGATCACAGATGATGTATTAGCAGCAGCAGCTGCGCTTTCGTGCGTCCAAAAGCGCTCATCAGCAGCAGCACTTGAGCTGTGATTCCTTGTGACGTTAGCTGGGCTCATCGTCCGACCTCGGCGGCCGATTCCTGCGACTGAGGCGCTCCCATTCCATCCCGGGAGCCCGGGATCCGGAGAACCCGGAGGCAGTTCGAACAAGGACGCTACTAGGAGCACAGGGCATCGCTACGAACGGAGCACGGACGCTACTAGGGGCTCCTGGCATCGCTACTAGTAACAAGAAGCTATTAGAAAATAAGAATTCAATCATTCTTCCGAATGTCTTTTGTTCAGCTCTGGCAGGGCGAGGAGCTTCACTTCCGAAGCCCCGCAGAAGTCCTGCCACCAGAGGTGTCGCGACGGTCGAGACGGTCGAAGTGTCGGCTCTCCCGGTCGCTCCAGACCGACAGGTCGCTCCCAAAAGCGTTAGTACGCCAACGTATACATGGAGTATCATGGAGTACAGGAGATTGCAGACAAAAATTGGGAACACCTATACTAAGTTTCTGCTCAATTTGTGATCTGGTTGAGAGCCCTTCAACCCTTTAGTCCTATTGTATCTTCATCAATTGGGGCAACCACCTGAGACACGGAGAAGGGTCGTTTTCTGTGACATCATGGTCAAATCGTTTCGAATATCGAGGTTTATGACATAACGTGGCCCCCAAATAGATAGAAACGGTGTCCAATACATTTTCGTGGGATCCACTTTTCTATGTATATAGTCGATAGAAAAAGTCACATCTTTGTCCTTTTTGGATCCGAAGGAGATCCGACATGCGTCCGATCCGCCAGATCAACTTGGATCCCAAGCCCAACAACTCCCGCATTGTGGATCCGGTGAAGCGTCTCCGGCGCGAGGCACACCCAGGGAAGCTCCTTTTGTCAGCCATGACTTTGCTAAGCTTGGTGAGAACCACGGACTTGTTTGCCAGGGACTTGTTTGTGTGCTAAGAGCTACGCGATAGTCGAAGTGGTGGCGATGCCTGACACAGGGACATGTTATTTTCCGTTCGAAGACCAAACCTCGAAATCTCAGAAAGACTTGACGGTTCGAAGTCTCCCAGGTAGGTTGGAGGCCGCAAGTAGGTTGGAGGCCATCGCTACTAGGGTAGAGGCCATCGCAAGTAGGTTGGAGGCCATCGCTACTAGGGTGGAGGCCATTGCTATCTTTCAGGGCGACTGGGGTTGTCAGGCGCTTTGGTCCTTGAGCGTCCCTCCTTTGCCTCCCACACATGCAGTTGGGCTCCAAGCAGAAGTTGAGCCGCAGAATGGACTTCAACAGTGGTCAGTAGTCTTCAAGAACTCCCATTTGCACGGCTGTATGGGTTGGAAGTGATTCTGCGTTAAGCAAACACGATACAACCAGGAAGTAAAGCGTCCCATGGTTTTACCAAACAAAAGACCATACAGCAGGTAACAGGGAAAATGCTCCACTGGTCACATGAAACACATGATCCACCAAACTCCAACATATACAACATGATCTACCCCATCCCAGGGGTCCCAGCTTGCTTGGTTGTGGAGGCACGAATCGCTCTCCCGTCGAAGCCTCTCCGGTCTCGGTGTTGGGCTCCAACAGGGTCTCAACAGAAGGACCACCCAATAGCCATGGCCTCCAACCTAATAGCGATAAAGACATCGGTGTGTATGAAAATGAGGAGACTTCCCCAAAACTTTTTTGGAAGAAGGAAAGTAGACACAGACCCATTGGTTGGGTGTTTGCCTATTAATGTAGCAAGGTCGCAAAAGAAGACGACTGCGCTTTTTCCACTAAGTGTGAGGGTCGGACAACACACGCCTCACTCGTTGCACCTTTGAGGTCACTGCTGCCGCGAATGTGGGGCAACGAGTCTCCAGCGAGCCGTTAAAGGTGGGGCATCTCGCAGATTAGGACATGGGAACAAAAAGCATAATAGATATATATTAACATATATATATATATATTACAGGTTAACAAGGACGCTACTAGGTGGAGGCCATCGCTACTAGGAACAAGAAGTGGCGATGGCCTTAGTAGCGATGGCCTCCAACCTACTTGCGATGGCCTCCAACCTAATAGCGACAAAGACAACATGGGAAAAAATATGCATGTTTGCAAACTCCATGTGGCTGTGTATTTTGACTAATAGCTAGACACTCAACCGGGTTTGGGATGGTTTGGGTTTATCTTCCTCCAAGGGGTCGAACTTGGAGGTCTCCTCATTTCACGCGTTTGGTGCATTAACCGCCCCCTCTTCATATGAGGGTGGTTGATCAATCAAGACTCTACACGATGGAGGTTTTTGGCGGCAGAAATCGACATCCCGGACGCACCTCGGTATTGGCCGAGCCGATGCAACGGACACACCTGGAAATGTCCACCAGCAGCGACTCTCCAGAAGTTGGACCCTATAAAATCCTAGATGTTATTGGTTAAGATGCTAATGTTTGTTTTTTGACACCCTAAATTCAACCCTGATTATGCAGACGAGTGTTCTTGGAGGACTCTCAATAAGATGAGTAACTGATCGCCATGAAAGTCGTGCAGACGACGCGTAAGTGATCACGACTTACCACGACTTGAGCGTGCAGCCGTGCGCGGCTGTATGTCGTCGGCGATCCTCTTCGGTTCCTAAGCGATGCCCTTTGCTCCTAGTAGCTTCTTGTTACTACTAGTAAGGTCAGGAGCCCCTAGTAGCTTCTTGTTCCTAGTAGTGAGGCACTTGTTCCTAGTAGCGATGCCCTTTTTGTTAACGTTCGTCGTTTCTTGTTCGTAAGGCGAACGAAGCCCCGATCGCTTCGCGTCCGCTTCTCGCTCCGTTCGTCTTGGAACGTCCGAAGAGACGCCGCACGGCATCGCGTCCGAAGACGAGTGGCAGGATGTCTCGAACCGAGCAGAGCGAGAGCTTCCTCAGCAGGTGCTTGATAGGAGATCCACACATTTTCAGAGATGCCGAACTGCTCACATGCTCGGGATGGGTGCAGTGTTCCCTTTCTGCACACCCCTATCCTATCACTGGAAAAATAAAGTGACGTACCACCCAGAAACTTGGTGGCTGATGCGAGTTTGGGGGGTAGAGGACACTACTAGGGGCTCCTGGCCGTACTAGGAGCAAGGACTCTACTAGGAACACGAAGCTACTAGTAACAAAGGGCATCGCTACTAGGAACAAGGACGCTACTGGCCTTACTACTAGGAACAAGAAGCTACTAGGGGCTCCTGGCATCGCTACTAGGAACAAGAAGCAGGACCCTTTCAGGACCTGGACATTTCACTTATCGGGGACTCACCCAGACACGGCTGGTGAGTAAGCGTGAGTAAGTACATGAGACGTTTCAGAACAGGTTAGAAGGAAAGAAGGAGGAAGAACAGTTGCCGGGACTAGTCATTTTGTGTGTCACCAGAACTCCAAAGTCAGGTGCGAAAAGCAGCAAACACATAGATGGGTCAGGACTGTAGACACTGTTATGTATATTAATATTTGGCAAAGGCCTCAATGACATCAATCGGCTTTTGCAAAAGAAAGGAAGAACGCTCAAGAAGTAAGAGCGACAGGTCTGAGGAAGGAACCAAACATGAAAGAGAAGGTCTTTGATGGGACGTCCATCCACATAGCAGGATCAGCTCTGAGGGCCCTCCATTGGACAGTCGAGGTGGGGTGTTTTTTCACTCATTCCTTCCTTTCTTTCAATTAGACCATGCCTTCCTTCTTTTTGTGCATCTTGAGGTTTTCTGTTTCATGTCTTTTTTCTGTTTTGTTTCTGCTATTCTTTCTTTTTTTCCCTTACCTTTCTCAAAGACCTCCCACAAGGTGTCATGTTTGTTTTGGACACCAGCAAAATGCAATTTCTGATGTGTGTTTCAATATTGTTGTTCAATATTGTTTTCCCTCAACGGGCTCAGAAAAGTGCAGATGAATGTCAGAAGCCCGAGCGCTTTGTGCGTGTGTGACGAATGATTGGTGCTGTTGAGGAGGGCGCGATAGCTGGAGAACTCCCTTGATTGCTTGTTACAGTTATCGGTTTTGTGGAGACTCTAACTTGTGCCACGTATCACTCATCTGCAAGGGCTCTGACTCCGTATCAGTCAACATTAACAACCTCATGATTGGGCTGCCTTGGTCCTACCTCGAAGCTTCGAAAATCGGCCTCGAAGCTTAGTGACACCGGCCTCAGGTTGGACCGAAGTGCTACATGCCTCAGGCGAGGTATGTCCTGCAGGTTTTCCGGCTGTTGCAGGTTTTCCGGACATGTCCTGCGTGGCATGCTGTTGTTCGCCGGGGACATTGTTTGGGATTCTCCTGTTTCAAATCCCATCGGAATCGTTGTCAACTTGTCAGGTGTCAACATTCGGCATATGTCTCGCGTCGCATCCTTGGCAAGCCGACCTGCCTTGCTTGTGGTTGCTTGTGTTGGTATGTTCAGCATGGTGCCTTTTCGGCCGATATAATTTGGATTTGCTTTGGGGTGGCAGTCTTAAGGTGTTTGTGTTGCTTAATGTTTCGAAGGAAAAGACCTCCAAACTCCAAGCCACTCGACGGAATTTCACTTTGCACGTCATCCAAAGCTCCATTCTTTTTTCTGCCAAAACCCAACACCGAGGGCGAGAAAGAACGTCGACGGCAGGTTCTTCGGCAGCAGCCTCCCTTCATCGAGAGGCAACGGCGAAGACGTCAGACGTCAGACGGGTCCTTTGAGACGAGGCCTTCGGCTTTGAGGAGTAGAAACAAGTGCCACGCTAGTAGTAACAGGTGCCTTACTAGTAGTAACAAAGAAGCTATTAGGAGCTTGTAGCGATGGCCTCCAACCTAATGGCGCGCCTCCACCTAGTAGCTTCTGGTTACTACTAGTAAGGCACCTGTTACTACTAGCGTGGCACCTTGTTACTAGTAGCTTCTTGTTCCTAGTCGTTCTTTTTTGCAGAGATAGTCAAGGCCTGTCAAGGCACCCATTTTCAGGTTGAGCACGGTCTGGAGAAAAGAATTCCTTGCTTCTCAATTTCCAAATCTTGCAGGCAGTGCACCTTGCAGATACTTTAGCAAGGTGATCACAGACAGAAAGTCGTGGCTTTCAACAAGGAAGCTGGAACTGGCCCACACTTGGCTCGAAAGGAAGAGATTACTCGAAAACATTCGGGATGCTTTCCAGTGGAGAATCAATAACATCAAACAGTGACATAACCAATTCACGTTCAGTAGGTCAAAGAAGCTTGACACACAAGAGGAGCATTTGGAGTGAGGAACTAGTCAAACTAGTCAAGGCACCAGGGCACGCACTTCTTTTGCAGTCCTTTGCTTTTGGACCTTCAGCAAGCAACACCTTCAGCAGTCATTCAGCAAAGCAATGCCAACACCCATGGGGTTGTGTTGAATCCACAACACTCGGGCGGAAACCTGAGCATGGCTGTATTCCATTTGAGCAACTTGATGCGTCTTGGTAGCACGCGTGTTCAATGTCGGCCCAATGACCTCACACCACGCTGCCACATGTGGAGTCAATTGGGTGTCTACGTCGAATCCATCACTTGAAGGGTATGTGGGCATCGATCTAAAGGTCCATGAAAGGAGTTTCATATGGAACAGCCATTTCGGTTACTAAGTACCAACCGGGCGAAAGATCGCGAAAGTTAAACACAGGGTTCGCGAAAGTAATCTTTTTTTTCGCGAAAGTTCATGCAACCATGAATGTTATTTGTAGGTAAAGGGACCCTTATTTGTTTGCTTACTGTGATCTTTTCAGAGCACCAGCTCAGAAGGAAATCAGAGTCTTTGTGCAATTGTGACCAAGCCTTGTCTTCACGAGCTTTTGCTGCTCAAATGACGGGTTTCGTCTTAGAGGAAACTCGGTACGCCAATGGAAAGGTTCGATCCATTGCTGAAGACACTTGGGAATTTGTCCAAAACATGTCCGGTTTTTCGCGAAAGTTTCGCGAAAGTTCGCGAAAGTCTTCGCGAAAGACGGGTTGTCCTGAGAAGGGGTTGCCTCATGTCTCTTTAGGTTCAAGTCAGACAGAAAGATTGTAGGATGGATATAGTCGGAACTTTTCGGGAATGGATACGCAATGGGGCTCCAGGTGAGAAGTCAGTTAGGGGTTGCAAAGTTGAGTTAGGGGCTACATCATGCATACCTATATATAGTTTTCCTTTAACTACTATATATACCCATGTACCCGAACTTCTTCTGAATATGTAAGATCATACTTCGCGAAAGTTCGCGAAAGTTAAACATGGGGTTCGCGAAAGTAATCTTTTTTTTCTCGCGAAGAGGCACTTTCCAGATGAAAGGAATTTAGATCAACCACCATGTTGAAAGATCAATGTCGTCCCATTGGTCGTTGACAAGCTCTTTCAATTGAGAACCAAGGCGTGTCCAAGCCGACTCGTCGCTTGAAAGGGCTTGACAGAGTACTGCCTCGACCTTGCGACCCTTTCTCTTGGTGGCTTTCTATTTTAATTCTTGTTTCTAGTAGCAAACATTGTTACTAGTATGGCCAGGAGCCCCGATCGTAGCGTCCGATCGCTCCTACCCCATGCTTGGCTTCCCAATACGACATCGCATGACTCCTCCGTCCCAAAGGGGCACCGCGAAACACAGGCAGCGATGCTAAAGCAAAGCGTCTCCAGGAGCGGAGAACGGTCAGCGACCAGATGCGACGGTCGCTCACCCCGGTTCACCCGACTGGAAGATTTTTTGGGATATGTGTTTTGCATCGTCACCAAGTTGCACCTTCCCAAAGAAATCATGGACATGCTTCAGAAAGGTCATTTCCGCGACGCCTGGAGATTGCAGTTGCGAGATGTTAGGAGTTGTGGTATGATCCGCCGTCACCAGCACCAGGATTCTATTCCAAGCACCAGCACCTTCGTATGCCGCCGACCTGGATGAGTTGGTTTGGATTCCACGGACACATGGGATCAGGCCAGGTTGCGGCGGCGTTGCCGGTTCAGATGATGAAAGAGACAGAGGCTCACAGAGGGAGCCTGCCCAAAAAAAAAAAACATGTTCCCACCGGAACCAGTGGTGACTGGTTATTCATGGTGATTCTGTTCTTTGGGATCACCAGCTAGGTCCGATTCAGTGTGGCTGCTTTTTTGGTGTTTAGTTTAGAATGATAAGCTGTTGCATGCGACATCCTGAACATCAAAGGTCGAGCCATTGAATTCATTCATTAAACATCGCCATAAATTGATCCTGTAAGTTCCTCTGAAGTCGATTTCATGCTCGGTGATCCATGATTTTGCTTCCCAACAGCCTGACCTTTGTCCAGGTCGAACTCACCGGAGAACAATGCGATCCCTGCATTGTTGATGCAGTGCCGCGACTGCAGTGCCGTTTTTCCCAAACATTGGATGCACAAAATGTCCATGAATGGAGCATGACTCATGACCTGCACCGTGGAACTCTGTTTTCTTTCTTTTTTGGCGAAAACAAACAAGATGATGATGTCTTCATACTGCCGGTCAGATGCGGGCCATCGAAGGCGGCCGGTCAGGCCATCGAATCCCTTCGCCCAACCGCGCCCATGGGCTAAGAGCGTTGGGCTAAGAGCGCCCCGTTCGTAGCTTCTCGCTGGCTTCTTGTTGCTAATGTCGGCGTAGGATTAATAAACCCTCCCCTTCAAGGTCAACCAGGTCAACAAGGTTTGGGATTGAAGGTATTGGAGACCACATTCCCCTAATAAAGATGACCTGAGGATGGATGATGGTTGATATGATTCTGTGTGAACACTGAGGCCTGTGAGAGGGGTACCCTTTGTGAGCCAGAACACGTTAAGATTTTGATAGAGTTTTAATGAGGGAAAATGAACAAATTTTGCTAGAGAGGTTTTTAGGGATTGTGGAACAATGGATGCTGACCAGAAGGTATTGCTGGGCTTGATAGTAAAGAATAATACTGTATAGTTATTAATAGTAAACTAATATAAACTACTTCTTTTCTGGGGCAGCTGGGCTTGATTAATAGGGGGAGGTTTCTGCTATAGGAAAAATAAAAAATTTGCCAGCTATCCGGGGGTCCAGTTTGTATCTGGGGGTCCAGCTTTTAACAATAGAAACATCACGAGCACAGGACACATTCTAGCAAAGGTATAAGGCACACCCTGGACAATGACAATGGACAAGCGTAACCAAGAATCATCAATAGCAGTCCAAACAACACCCCACACTGACGATCACTGACGGGACGCACAAGATCGTGCAATTTTTTTCACTGCTGGGCTGGTGTGCACATGTTCCAAGTCCAAGCTCACAAAACTACCGAGGGCCGGCGCCGTGAACCATTAAGCTCACACAACTAAGGGGCGCCCTCAACCTCCTCATCCTGCTCCAGGAGAGCCTCTTCCTCTCCTTCACCCTCTTCACATCCCTCAGCTTCCCGCTCAGCCTCCATCTCAGCCTCCTTCACATCACGCTTAGCGCGGCTCAATTCCTCCTTTGCAGCAGCATCGAGCAATGCATCCTGCCAGTTAGAAAGTATGTCAAAGAATTGTGCTAGTTCAACCAATGCTGTGTGCCAAGCAAGCCCAAAAACAAGACAACTTAACACATGCACCCGAACCCTCATTGTCAGTGCTGAAGCTGTATCGCCCTTGTTCTGGAGCAGCTCTGCCTTCAGCAGTTCCTCACATAAAAGCAGCAACATTGAGCTGCAGGCAACTTGGCACATAATGTTGAGTCTGTGAATCTTTGTGTTCACAACACCAAGTACAACCAACAAAGGCACATTACATTTATATACTTGGTGGGTGTTGTTTTGCAATCACATTTCCAACAAGTAGCTGCAATTTCATGGAATTTTGCTTCTGGCACTCCATCTCGGGGCTTCATCTTTCAGGGCACAGCACAAGATACATGGTCACCGGATGAGATGAACAGAAAACACATTCAGGCTGGTGCCACTTAAATCGAAAACCACTTATGTTACATGTTTGACAACTTAGGACCAATTGTTTTCAAAGCCCCGACCCTCATGATTTCTGACTGGGGAGGAACGTTGGTCTTGAAGCCATAGGTACCGTTCTGGTACTGGTACTTGTAGATGGAAAGAGGCTTCTCAGAAGCCCCACTGGCACTAGGTCGGGCGGCTGGTTTCTTCAAAGCTGAAGCACGTGGCCGCTTGGAATCACCCTCCTCGATGGGCGTTTCCTCATCAGCATGCTCCTGGACCTGTGTTGATCCTTGTGTTTGATCCTTCTCCTGGACCTTTGCAGCAGCAGGTCTCTTCTTAGGGGCTGGTTTCACCTTTGGTGTGTTCTTTGGGTGCGACCCTTTGCCTCTTCCTTTGCCTCTTCCTTTTCCTCTTCCTTTGCCTCCTTTTTTGGCTCTGCTTTGGCTTTGGGTTGACCTTGTTGGTTCTCTTCATTGCCCACTGCTTGTTGCTGCTTCTTGGATTTCTCTTTCTTTTGGGCTGGTGCTTCCTCATCTGACAGTTGGTCCACGTCGCGAAACATGAGTGACACGTTTGCTAAAAACATCAACGGCCGACAAGCAACAGCTGACTAAGCCCACAAACTGCACTGACATACAAAACGTCCAATCTGACATCAATGTGAAGCATGCTAACACAAGTGAGCAACGCAGTAGTATCAATCATGGAACAACACAGAGTGAAAACCCCAACCTTTTCAGAGATCCAAGGCACACAAGAAGGTGGTAGCCAA